TCTTAGAGGGGCTACTGTAGGAGGATTGGCTACATTAGGGGTGTGTTGCCTAATATGCAAAGGAGTTCCTGCTACACAAAGAGCCCTCCCTTATGGATCACTGCCTTGATGTGCCAAAGGAACTAGAATGCTAAAGTAAGGAGTCAAAAGGTAACCGGAATAACAGAAAAGTTTGGCCTTGGAGAACTAAATGAAGCAGGGCAAAGGCTAACAGAGTTTTGTCAAGAGAACATGCTGGTGATAGCAAACACCCTCTTCCAACAACCTAAGAGGCAACTCTACACATGGACATCACTAGATAGGCAACACCGAAATCAGATTGATTACATTGTTTGCAGTCAAAGATGGAGAAGCTCTATACAGTCAGTAAAAACAAGACCTGGAGCTGACTGTGGCTCAGATCATGAGCTGCTCATGGCAAAATTCAGACTTAACCTGAAGAAAGTTGGGAAAACCACTAGGACATTCAGGTTTGACCTAGATTACATCCCTGATGAATATACAGTGGAAGTGAAGAATAGGTTTAAGGGACTAGACTTGATAGACAGAGTGCCTGAAGAACTATGGACGGAGGTTCGTGACATTGTACAGGAGGCAGCAATCAGCACCATCCCAAAGAAAAAGAAATGCAAGAAAGCAAAGTGGCTGTCTGATGAGGCTTTACAAATAGCAGAGGAAAGAAGGAAAGCAAAAGGCAAAGGTGAAAAGGAAAGATTTACCCAACTGAATGCAGATTTCCAGAAAACAGCAAGGAGAGATAAGGAGGCTTTCCTGAATGTACAATGCAAAGTAATAGAGGAAAACAATAGAATGGGAAGGACTAGAGCTCTCTTCAAGAAAACTGGAGAAATCAAGGGAACATTCCATGCAAAGTTGGCCATTATAAGGGACAAAAATGGTAGGGACCTAACAGAAGCAGAAGAGATTAGGAAAAGATAGCAAGAATACACAGAAGAGCTATACAAGAAGGACCTCAGCAGTATTCCCTCTAAACTGAGTTAGTGTGAGCGAGCTCACAGTTTTTTAGCCTCTGGCTCACACATTTTTGTCTCAGCTCAGGAAGGATGGCTCCAGAGCAAACTAATTTATGCAGCAGCCAAATCACCTGCTCACAATTTTAATGCCAGTAGCTCACAAATTAGAATTTGTGCTCACAAGACTCCACAGCTTAGAGGGAGCATTGGACCTCAGTGGCCTTGACAAACACGATGATGTGATTACTGACCTTGAGTAAGGACAAAAAAGGGAAAAGGGAAAAAAACCTGAACCTAAAATCTAGAATTCAGAACCTTAAAAGGTTAGTCAAGAATAGAAAAGGGCCAACTCTAAAAATCTAATTATAAAACATACAAAAATATACATGTATTTATTGAATACAAATTAAAATAACAAATAAGGACTTCAGTACAATTGGAACACAGTAATATTTTAGTAATAACCGTGCACAGAGAGAGAATTACAGACACTACAAAATTTATAGTTTATATTTTGCTGCGATAATGTTTAAAAACAATATTTCCAAATAGTTTTTAAGTTGCTCTTCTTTCTTCTTCTCCAAACAGGGAAAAGCCAGAGTTACCTTAATTTGTAATCCAAATAGCAAGTTTTTAATATAGTTCCAAATAAGACCATAATAAGTCCAAAACGAAAAGGAGATTCATAAAACTCAAATTAAATCCAAGGAGAATAAAGGTGTGGTTTTTTAAAAATCCAAATAACCAAGTATTATAATCCACAGTAAGGGCTTGCAAATATAAAATTGTTCATATAATTCCAGAAAATATAATTGTAATCCAACATAGGGTCTTGCAAAAGGCTTGAACATATACTTCCAAGAAGCACAGTTGTGGATGCAAAGGGAGACTTCAGGAAAGAGGAGAAACAAGTAAGGCTTAGCCCAAAGAACAGAATAAAAAATAGTATCGTAATCCACCATAAGGTCTTGCAGAATTATTCAGTGTCAAACTGTTAAATATCCAATTATTATCGACTTTCCTTCTCCTTTAGCCCAGTAGCAAAGTAGTTTCTTCTTAACTCTTTTACAAGCTCCTTGAAAGTGAAAAGGGAGGGGGAGAAAACTCTTCACCCCTCCATTTTCTTATGTCAGTCTTTAAATGGTTTAAAGTTCTTAAAGTCAAATAAGAAAATCTTTAAGTCTATTGTGTTCAAAGTTACGGTGTTAAAGGTCTTCTTACGTTAATTGTAGGAGGTTTTTCTAGGTTCCCCGTTGTCCTGGGAGTAACAGCTGGATGTCCATGTCTGACATGGATATTCTTGCCGGTTCCTGCCTCAGGGCAATCTCAGACTCCTACCTGCTTGCCACTGCTCATGGGGGGGGGGGGGTCCAGATCAAGCCTCTTGCACTGGACTTCCCTCCGGAAAGCCCAATAGAGCCCTTGAACCCTCAGGCTCCTCTATCTGAACACGAAATCCGGCTGTTTCAAGGGAGCATGCCCCAAGAACGGCCATCCTTGCCGCACCGAAAACTGTTTTGCCCCAAAACTAGAGCGCCAACACCCCCATGTTGGTAACATGGTGACATCACTTCTGGGTGATCCCCCTGCTAGCTCCCAGGTAGGACCTGACAACCCTACTTCTGGGTTTATCTATTCTCTGTACCCATAGGGTTGCCAGCTATTAAATTTGTGATTCTAGCTAGCCCCTTAATTTATTTGCTATCTATTAAATTAGTCACTCTAGGTAGCCCTTTAATGCCATGAAACATTTCAACTGTCCATTTCTACTCATTAAAGGGACAGCAAATATCCCCTCCCCCACTGCTACCCAGGGGTCAATCTTAGCCACATCAGGTCCTAATATTAGAAATTATCCTCAGATCCTCTTCCGGTTTATGGCAACACACTGGTGGATGCATCTCCCGTACCTCCCAGGGATGTGATCTGCACACTAGCAGAAGGGGGGGTGATGGGTTGCTACCCCCCCAGAGCCTTGGCAAAAGGCTCCTAGCCATGGGGCATTTGAGGGGTGGCCTCTTTGCCAGGCGCTCCTCTGCCCTCACGGTCCTGCCGCTGAGTGTCCATATGGATCTAGAGCCACTGACCAGGACAAGTGTCAGAGACCGAGCATTTTGAACGTATGCCAAGCGAGGTCATATGAACAACAATGAACTGTGAGTCGGGTTAAAACAAAATGAGAATTTAAGAAGAAAGCTACCCCCTGGGGATGGCGAGAAAAGTGAGCGGGGGAGGGGAGGGGCCCCTCCCATACGCATGAACTAAACAACGAAATACTAAAGAGGGAGCGGAAGAAAAGTGTTGAAATCAGTTTGAGAGACTTACCAGAGCGCAGATAAGTGTGTGGGCATATTTCAG